AATTGGCAAGTTCAGGTGCAGAGGGTGTGCATGTGTGCATATCTGTTTTTGGACATGCAAACTGATGGGAGATTTTATAGCAGTGCCCTTTCAGTGCAGAATTCACATAGAACTAGACTGATAAGATAGGACTTTGGCAGCATTAGTAACTAAAGTCAGCAGTGTATTCAAACTTCAGCCACCTGTCATGTATAGCTCGGTTTTTTAAAGGCAAAAATAACAGTACAGGTTGAGTATCCTTTATCCAAAATGAATAGGACCAGAGGTTTTTAGAATTTGGAATATCTGCATATACATAATGAGATATCTTGGAGGGACCCAAGTCTAAACACAAAATTCATTTACGTTTCATATACACATTTTATACTTCAAAGCAGACTGAATTCTCACTGGGATCAGAAAGTATCTCGGATTCAAGTAACCCAATGCTTTTTTGTCTTTCGATCTTTTTTTTTAAAAAAAATCTGCCTGGAAGAAGGTGAAACCTTCCCAAGCCATGCATCCTGGCCCTGATCCAAATCCTAAATTACACTTACTTGGAAGTTTGTTTGTTTTTAAAGTGGGGGTGTGCAAGGCTTCTCTACATACTACATATTTAACACAGGGCATCGTTTTAGCTCTTACAATAAAGCTAACCTTTGATCTCTTCTGCCCTCCGAAACAGGGTAATATGGAACTGGCTCAAATTCTGGGAAGGCAGATTGTGGTTGAACATTAGGAGGAACCTCGGAATAACCGGAGGCATGTGATAATGCAAATAACTATCCAGAGGGGTCATGCATTGGCTCCTTTTTAGAAGAAATCTACAAGAGGATGGAAAGCAGTTGGGAACTGCTGTAGATATGTACAGTGGGTCCTTCACATTCACTGGGGTTAAGGGCACAGGACCCTCATGAAAGTGGAAAAAATGCAAATAAAAATATATTTTTTACTTGAGAGAGAACACCTCTCTGGGAATCTCTAGGTCCTGCAGTGCAACTCTGTGGTCAACATCTGCCAGAATTTGGCCACAGAATCACAGTGGAGGACCTACAAATGCCTAGAGAAGTGTTTTCTCTAGTAATCTCTAGGTCCTCCAGATCCAACTTCCAGCAGAGTAGTGCTGGAGGACCTAGAGATTCCTAGAGGGAACATATTAATCAAATCCACAAATAATCAAATCTGCAAATGTGGAGGGCCAACTGTATAGCTATCCATTCATATGGCATATGTATATTCCATCCTTTCATGGGTCGGTAAAATGAGTACCCAGCTTGTTGGAGGCAATTGGCTAACACATTGTAAACCGCTTCGAGAGTCCTTAGTTCACTATGAAGCGGTATGGAAATGTAAAGTGCTATTGCTATATCTTTTACCCGAAGA